CAGCTAGTGGGTTTAAACCGCTGACCTTCAGGTTATCAGCTGGATGCGTAGCCCCCTGCACTACAAGCCTCCTTACTCTTTTATCCCATACTCCAAACTCCCTGCTGTCAGGTTGACGCCGACTGGTAGTGGCCCCCTAGGACAGGGTAGAACTGCTCTGTGAGTTCCCGAGACCGGACTCTTCCCCATGTTTCTCCGAAGGAGCGGCGGGTGGTTTTGCGTGCTATCAGGGTTAGCAACCCAATAGTCGCCAGCACCCCAGCTGGACCCAACACTGTCCTGGAGGTCACTGTAAGTTGGCAATGACTCGGTGACAGTAGACTTGGGTTTGGGTTGGAGGCGAGGTTGTGAGAGAGGTTAACTGGAGCGCCCAGGCAGGAGAGGCTAAGGAAGAGGTTGACCTCAACAAGCATACTGCAGGTACCAGAGAGGGGAAACGTTGGGGAACACGTAGGGGTGTTTAAATCGAACATTGGGAAGATTTACCCTACAGGCACCTGGACTCTCTCTTCAACTTCCCACCAAGCCGTTCATGAAATTTACATTACTTGCCGTTTTCCTGGGTGCTGAATCATTGCTGTTGTCGTTAGCAGCCATCGGACCAACCCCCCTCTTTACAGCCCCACAAGGTTGTCGGCGCCTATGATATTTCAGACACAGCTCACCACACCTGTCTTCTGAGAGATCTCGGGGTAGAGACTCAAACTGCCAACCTTTCAGCAAGCACGTTCACCCCTGGAGCTACTCGGGACTTTGAAACCCCAATAATGGACTGAGACTGGCTCAGAGGGCCAAAGCCGGCCAGGCCGAGGAGGCTCTGACACACCTGGGTCATAGCAGGCAGCTGGGGCTGAGCGATTGACTGCTACTCCCATGAGCATTGATTGTGGATTCGAGCAAGGCAAAATCCTTAACAATTTCGATCTTTCCTCCCTTTATCATGACATAACCTATTGGTCCAGGTGTGAGGCTTTGGGTTTCCTTCACACGGAGTTGTCGGTCCACAGTGTTCGATCTTCATCAGCAAGAACTTCAAGTCCTCTTTGCTTTTAGTAAAAAGGTTGCGTCACCTGTATATCACAGATTATTCATACGTCTTCTATGATCTTCTTCATAGAGGCCAGCTTCTCAAATTATTTTCTGGGCATAGAGATTGAATAAAATATGGTGAGAGGATACAATGCGAATACATACTTTTCCTGATTTTTAACCTTGCAGGGATTCCCTTGTTCTGTTAGAGTGATGTTCCATGAGGACAATGAAAAGTTCTGGAACCCTATGCTTCTCAGTGTTATTCCTAGTCTGTGATGATCCACACAGTTGAATGCCTGTGTAGAGTCAATAAAACGCAAGCAAACATCTTTCCCATATTCTGTGCCTTCAGGCCAGGTCAGTCTGATTGTAGCAACGATCTCTCTCTCTCTTGTGTCATTTCCTTTTCTCAATCTGGCTTGGGTTTCTGGCAGCACCCTGTGTACTGCTGCAAATAGTTTAAAATGATCTTCAGCAAAATTTTACTTGCATGTGATATTAATGCTATTGCTCAATAACTTCTGCACCTTCTTACGTCATTTTTCTTTGTGATGGGCACAAATGCAGACCTCTTTCAGCTAGTTGGCCAGCTAGCTGTCTTCCAAATTTTCTGGCACAAGCAAGTGAATGGTTCCAATGCTTGTCAGCTTGTTCAGACATTTCAGCTCGTGTTACATCAATTCTTAGAGGCTTGTTTTTGGCTAATGCCTTCAGTGCAGCTTGGACTTCTTCCTTCAGTATCATTGGTTCTTGATCATATATGCCTTCTTGAAATACTTGAATGTCAGTCGATTCTTTTTGGCATAGTGATTCTGTGCATTCCTTCCGTCCCCTTTTGCTACTTCCTGAGGTATTCAATATTTTGACCTTAGAATCCTTTAGCATTGCAACATTGCAGCCTTGAACTTTTTTTCTTCAATTCTTTCAGCTTGAGATATGCTGATCATGTTCTTCCAGTTTAACTTTCTAACTCCAGCCTTGTGCACATTTTATTATAATATTTTATTTTGTCTTCTCAAGTGACCCTTTGAACATTTCTGTTCAACCTTCGACTTCAGCCTTTCTTCCACTTGCTTTAATTATTGTATATTCAAGAGCAAGCTCCAGAGTCTTCCTCATCCACTTTGATCTTTTCTCCTTTCTTGTCTTCTTATGACCTTTTGCTGCCTTCATGTGTGATGTTCTCATGTCTCCCTATAGCTTTTCAGATCTTACATCATTCGTGTTTAATGTATCAAATCTATTATGGAGATGTTCTTGAAATGCAAGCGGCAGATATGCTCAAGGTAATATTTTGGCTCCCACCAACTTGTTTTTAATTTTCTTCTACTTCAACCTGAACTTACTTTAAACATATGAGCTATGGAGAGACTGTTCCACAATCGGGGCCTGCGGATTTTGGCTATTGATATTGTGTTTCTCTATCGTCTCTTCACACAGATGTAGTCAATCTGGTTCCTGCATATTTCATGTGCGCAGTCACCGTTTGTGTTATTGAAAAGAAGGTATCTGCAATGAAGAAGTCATTGATCTTGCAAAATTCTACCACGCAATCTCCACCTCTGCTGCTATCGTCAAGGCCATATTTTCCAACTACTGTTGCTTCCTCTTCGCTTCCAACGTTTACATTCCAATCACCAATAATTATCAAGGCATCCCGATTGAATGTTTGATCAGTTTCAAAATGAAGAAGTCGGAATTCCGTAACTTCATTGCTCACTTTAGTGGTTGGTGCACAAATTTGAATAATAGTTGTATTAACTGTACTTCATTGCAGGTATACAGCTAGGACCCTGTCACAGACAGTATTATACTTCAAGACAGATTTCAAAATGTCCTATTTGACAAAGAATGTGCCACATTCCTCTTAAATTTGTCATTTTTGGCATCACAGAGCATTTGAGTGTCTGATTTTAAATGGTCAGTACAGTCCATTTCAGCTCATTGATGCCTTGGTTATAGATTTTTGTGTTCTCTTTCATTTTTTACAACTTCGTTTCCCTAGATTTGTACTTCATGTATTCCATGTTCTGCTTATTCATGAATGCTTCTAGCTGTTTCTTCTCCTTTCCAGTCACGCCTCACCAGCAAATGAAATCCGGAAAGCTGTACTCCATCCATGTTGTCGTGGTCAACGCTACTTTGAGGATGCAGCGCTTCCTCAGTCCTGTTTTGAGTGCCTTCTAATCCAAGAGGGTCATCTTCCTGCACTACATCTGACAGTATTCTGATGCCCTTCAGAAGGTCTTCAGTGATTCATCCCTCAGAAGTGGACAGTCTATGCCTGCATGGTAGTCCATTCTTAGTCTGACAACTCCACGGAAACCTGTTCACCGGGGTAACCCTGCTGGTATTTGAAACACCAACGACCTAGCTTCCGGCCTCACAGCAACACCAGTCACCACAGTGTGACAAACGTATAGAGATAAATGGTGTGATTTCTATCTTCAGAAAGAATGGATGTCAAGAGTTTGTTTCTGACACTACAGCATGTAAACTTTGGAACCAGAGTCTATTTAAACTGGACAGTCAAGAAAGTCATTCCTTAAAGTAGGAAACCAAGAAGAGAAGTAGAGGCATTTGGATTCTCAGTTCCAGCCCTTGCCTGCTCCTAGGTGTTGAGAGACCCCAAAAGCAAAGCAGACTGACTCATAATCACCCTACAAGACAGACTAGAAGCACCCTTGCGGGTTTCCAAGACTGTAACTCTTTATGAGAATAGAAATCCTCCTCGTTCTCCTATGAGCTGTGAGTCGGTTTTGCATTGTGGACCTCGGCCTGGTGGGAGATGGGGAGAGCTTGCCAGTAAGCTGTCCCCTCCGTGGAGTTTCTGATCCCAATTTCAGGAGTCCTAACAGGCCAGGACACACTTTGCCCCCTTGGAAGAGTTGCTTGTAGTTTTCCTCCCAAAACTTTCATTTTGAAAACTAAAACGGATTAGCCTGTCAGCCACACACACACAGACTGAGCCAACTACAAATGACGATGCGGGGCCCATTGTCAGTGTTCAAAATGCAAGGGGAAGGTACCCCTCGAGGTGTTGAAATATACAGGCTTTTTCCTTTCTCCCATGAGCACTCTCTCGACTTATCATGGTCTTTCTTGCCTCTATCATGTCTTTCTGAGGAAAGGAAAACAGATTTCTGGGTAGTATGAATTCCACTGTTCCCTTGTTCCCCATATGCAGTATCACAGAAAGGACATGATTTCTGTTGTGTCACTTGTCTCAGCGGTTCTCAAGCTGGCCAGAACTTATGGACACAAGCCCCCACGGTCACTGCGTGGTTCCAGGAAGTGTTCCCTTGGGCACGGGGATACTTTACAGGGCAAGTTCAGACCCCTACAGGTGGCGAAGGTTCAGGTGGAGCAGGTTTGCTTCTATAATTGGCTGGTCTCCCTCTTCCCACCAGCCCCCAGGCCCATGTGGGAGGCTCATTCCCACCTACTGACCATGCCATGGCACTGCCGGCCTGGGGTAGGGCAGTGCCATCATGGCTGGTCTTAAAATGTGGATGAGCATGACGCCCCAGCACTGGTCCACCTGCATCACTAAGGGGAGAAGGCAAGGTGGCGGGCTGGGTGGGGAAGGGTGCAGCTGAGAACTCCTCCTGGAGGGGAGTGGGAGAGATTCGGAGTCTGCCAGGCCTGAGCTGAGGCCCGAGCTCCTGCACCTGCTCCACCATCCCATCTCCCTCCCCCACCCCCACCCCTAGAACACACATCTGAAGACAGAATGGAGAATTTCGAGGTGGCGACCACAGAGTAGGAAATCCCAAGGGCCAGCCCCTTCTGAAGATAGCCCTTTGCAACAGGACACAGGTCCTATGCCCAGGAGCTGGCTTTGTACACGGAAGGAAGCGTTCTCCACCTCCTTGACTAACTTAAACTAAAGAGAGAGAACACTTCAGCCCGGGGCTGAGCTGCAGACAGACAGCTTTGCTCCTTCCAGTCAAGACTGCGACACTGTGTCAGAGCATTCATCGGGGCTTTATTCCAAAATCAACTCTTGATAATGCTGTTCACTAGGCCAGGGGCATTCCACGCAGACAGACAGAACAAATATCAGAGCATCCAAGGGGCAGGGCACGCAACTCCTTTCCTTTGCTCAAACAACTGATTCTTGGATGGCTCCGCACTTGAATGCGAGCACCCCTTCCCAGGGGCTTAGGTGAAAAACCTCCTGTTAGCATTAGCTCCAAACAAGGCCTTTCGTATCTCCGGCATCCTCTGCTGGGCTAAGAGATCCAGTCGGCTTTCCAGGGTGTTGGAGACCTTGATTTTCTGGCCGTCACTGTAGGCCTCCACGCCTCCGGCGGAGTCTCCAGGCAGGTGCACCTCTCGATCAATGTGGATCTCCACGGTTTTGTGGGTGGCCTTCATGTACTCAGAGATGGCTCTTGGCAGGGCACCCTGTAGCAGAAAGACGTCCTGTGGGCGACAGCGCACCAGCACGCGGGGCTCGAGCAGCCGGAACAGGCTCTGCAGCAGCAGCTTCTCCAGCAGCCCCTGGTAGACCTGCACATCCATCACTATCCTGCTGAGCCGCTGCTTGGCTTCCTTTAGCAAGTCCGTGATGAGGTCGTCCCGGGCCCTCAGGACTGTTAGCCTCGCCTGATTTCTCACGGTGGACATCTGGATTTTCTTCTGCTGTTCTATCTGCTTCTCCTTCTTCTCATAATACTCCAGAATCTTCAGTCTCTGCGTCTGCACAAGGCGTCCTTTCTCGATGTTGAACTCTTCCTCGGCCTTGGCGTCTATTTCTTCTGCCTTCTCGTTGGCCTCCTGCTCGATGAAAGCCATCATGTGCTTAATCTGCTTCTGCACGTCCACATCGCTCAGGGCCATGGCGCCTCTCAGCTGGCAGGTCCTCGGGTGCCGGGAGCGAGGTGGTCCCAGAGTTCCACTCCCTCAGCTGTGGAGGGCACAAGTGGAGGAAGCAGAGGGTCAGAGCCGGAATGGGAATGATGAAAGGTGTCTTCTATCCAGCCCCTCCCTCAATTCGCAAGTGAGGAAACTGAGGCAAAGAAAGGGAAACCAAGTTGTCCAGGTCACCAGGGTCCTCCATCCCTGCTACATAAACTGCCCTTTTGTCCCCAAATAGTCATGAGGTAGTTAGGGCAGACCTAGTGTGGAAGCTGTCTACCCAGCCAGTGTTGGTCCAAGACTTAGACATCAAAGCAAGGGAATGGAAATGCCCAGTTAGTGTATCTCTTGGGACATGTAGGCATGCTTCAGGAGCCCTGGTCATGTGAAGGGTTACTCGTTGGGCTGCTAACCACAAGGTGAGCAGTTCAAAACCACCAGCCACGCCTCTCCTGAGGATGAGGCTTTCAATTCCCTTAAGGATTTTCTGTCTCAAAACCTCAGGAACAGTTCTGCTCCACCCTGTTACGTTGCTTTGAGTCAATATTGACCCAATGGCAGTGAGCTCAGGGTCCTTTGGAGGCACATTTAGGGGTGTGAAGGACTGAGGGGAGCTGTAAGACCTTCATGATCAGAAAGGATTTATTCCAGGAAGGCTGTCTGGAGGTGGAGGGCTTCAAAAGCCCACCGAGAACACATGAGGCGAAGCCTTGCAGAGAGACAGTAGGCAGGGGCCTTATCATGGGGCAGCAGTTCCCAAACCTTGATGTGCACCTGAATCACCTGGGGGACCTGGAAGAGATACAGATTTCCAGGTCTCTCTCCCAGACCCTCTTGGGGCCAAGCTTGGTGAGCCATTGTGCACCAAGAGAGCAGAGAGAGTGTGTGAGGCACAGGGAAGCCCAGGTCAGGCATGTGCTGGGGAAAAGCAGAGCCGCCAAGAGCCAATGTGCTGCAGCGGCTGCCACCAGTGTGCGCGTGAACGCTGAGGGATCTGCTCATGGAAGCCCCCAGTCCCAGACTCCCAGACTGCACCACTCCAGAGACTGGCTTTGGGCATCTACCACTTCACCCCCAGAGGCGTGATTTCTGGAGGCATTCGGCTAGCCAGGTACTTAAGCCGCATTGATCGACTGGTACTCAGACCAGGGGTGTCGCCAAGCAGACCCATAGGGTCCCTGTGCTGTACAGGGTTCTCCCCAAAACAGCCTCCATTTCAGTGGCACACACACACACACACACACACACACACACACACCATCAAGATTTGGCCTGAGGACAACTGCACTCTGATTCAGATGAACACCCACCTTCCCTGCCTGGGGCCACGCTGAACTGTGGTCTCTGATCGGCAGTGGGGCTTCAGTTACAGAGCTGCCCCTGTTCTGTAACGTTATGGACAGAGCTTCTAAGTTTCTGCTCTCGTCCCTCGGAATAGCCTCATGATCTTTTTAAAGAACTTGCAATAAAGAATGCGCACTCACGCGCGCACGTACACACATAAAAAGTATACCAGACAAACGAACTGTCACCAGTCCACGCCAACGGCCGGCCTCCGCCCTGGCGCCGGGAGTCTGCGCTCAGAACATGGAATTTGGAACACATTCTGGAACCTGGCACTGTCGCGTCTTTCCTTCTACAGACGACCCTCGCTGTCTGACCAGGCGGCTAGAATCCAAAGGGCCAGGCTGCCACGGGGAAGGCTGGCCAAGTGTTCCGCGGGAAGCCAGGAGGGATTTCCTTGGCACACCCGCCCAGCCGGGGACCCGAGGCTGGCGTGCTTGGAATCTCAACGAAGTTGACACGTGGTGGGCTTCAGCTCTGGGGTGGGCTTCCCTTAACTAAGTCCCCCCGCGCCGGATCTGTGTGGGAACCCAGGCTGCCAGCTGATTAATTTACTAATGAGAAAGACAGCTGGCCTCCTCTCTCTGTCTGAATTCACTAGAGGGGTTGTTGAATGAGCACCCCGAGCCAGCAAAACTCACCAGCTGCTCCTCCTGAGGGGCTCCATCCAGGGGCAGGGCTGCCTGGTGAACCGGCAGCTCCCACGGTGCGGGCTCTGGAGTCAGCCGGCTGGGATCAGATCCTCCTCGGCCACTTATCATTAGGGCGACCTTGATAGAGCAACTCATCCCTGCAAGCCCTGTTCCTCACCGGCCTGGTGGGAGGAACAATAGAGTTCTTATCATGGGGCTCTTGTGAGAATAAAAGGAAAGAAGGAATGTTTGGCACAACCTGAGGCCCAGAGTGGATTCTTTTGCCTCCTGTTTATGATTCCCATCACAACTCTCGGCAACAGCCCCCCCCTTTCCCTGATTCTCTCTTCCCCTGATTCAGACCTACCACCTCGCCACCGCCACTCTCCCTGCAGCCCAACCGAGGGCCTGGGATGAATCGGATTTCCACTTACGAAGTGGAAACCCTCCCTGGGACTTGGGGACTCCCCCACTCTTTGTGACCCACAGTCTCAGGAGGCCGGCACGTCTTGGTGATAATGGGTGACAGTCTCAAATTCCAGGGAGCTCGGGCTGGCCAAAGAGTGGGGGGGGTAACCTCACAGCCTGCTCCCGCCATCCCTGGATCGGCAGTCCTCACGCCTCCCCTTGCCCCAAATGGGGCCTGGGAAGCAGCTGCAGGGTGGGGCAGGGTTAAAACCGAGACTGAGCGACTGTCTGTGCAGGAATGTGGGTGCTGGTGTAATGTGTCTGGTAGATGTCACTTCCCGTCCGTCTGAGACGGGGATTAGGATGTAGCACACATGTGCCTGTGGCTGGAGCGAAAAGCAAAACAAAGCAAAAGAAGAAACATGAAACACGCGATGGGTGTCTGCCCTCGCAGGAAGCGCAGGTCCCGCCACCCCACTCCCCTTCCTATGCAAGGGGCTCCAGCACAAAGCGGCAACCAGGGCACCCAGGTGGCTGAGGGCAGCAGCCAGGCCCAGCCATCTAGCTTATGGGGCACAAATGCCACAGTCCCAGTGTCTCTTCCCCACCCCCCAAGTGCCACCAAACACACAGCCTGTGCTCAGAGCTCTTTTTCTAGCAGAGGCTCCTCCCCACACCCCCGAGAGCTAGGCACCCCCTGAAGCTTCAGGAACCCCTGCCGTGTCCCCTGGAGTGCTCCAAACCATGGCCTGACTTTCCAGGTGCCATCCGCACTGGGTTCAGGCTTCTGTTGTCCCCCAGGATGCTCCACCAGGTCCAGACTCTCTCTCTCTCTCTGTCTCTCTCTCTCTCTCTCTCTCTCTCTCTCTCTC